TTAGAAAAAGGCAAGAAAACTACTCTAAATCCAACAATAAAAGATTAGCACCATTTTTTTGTAAAATTAGCAGCCATTTTTGTATAAAACCACACCCATTTTAATAACTTCATTGATGTTCAGCCCCCCCAAAATAAATTTTGTTCCGCCGCCAATGCTGATAGGTGAGGGAGGAACTACATGTACATGTACATGTAGTACTGTACAAGATGATTTAATGGTGAGGGTAATATTTGGTGAATTTTCCTGTGGAAAGTTAATTGGTGAATTTTATATTAGTGATTTTGTGCCACATTCCATTGAGTATGCTCAGATTGAAACAAAAATGGCGGATTTTATTTTGGCAATTTCTTCATAAATCCGCCAATTGCCGATTATTAATTCCTCGTCAATAAATCATCTTGTATGGTATATTGTAGCTGCTCACCACATCTCTTAATATTTTCCTTTCTTCCCTTTTACATACACAATGTACAGTACATGTACATGTATGCACAGATTGCACACATACACACACACTCTCTTTCTCCTTTGTCTTATTTCTTCTGTATAACACATCAACATGTACATGCATTTACATGTACATGTATTAACACATGTATATGTATCGTACATGTATTGCACTCTAGTCTCATCTCTTCTCTTCTCTCCCTAGAGTCATTCACAAAGCTGGATAGTGATCAGCGAGCTCATTCATCAAACTACACTGGAGGGGAGAAGACAGGACAGAGCTGGACTGATAAGGTACTTGGACACAAATCAACTGATGAACCCAGCCAGGGAACAGGAGGAGGAGGAGGAGGGGAGGTTGATGATGATGAATGGGTGAGTTTGTATATTCTTATCTTATGTTCTTATACATTGTAAATTACATCTACTATTATTTTAGACACCTGCATGAGCATGTACACATACTGTATAGTGAGAAATTTTGGAGGGAATCAAATTTCGTGAATTTGGCATTTTCATAGCCATTCGCCAAGATAAAATCTGCCATTTTGAGCTATTACCATATAGTGGGTATATTTTGTCTGGAAAAATGTTTGTTCTAAGCAGGATTAGAAATTTTCGTTCGTTTTATTTTTGTTCTGAGCAGCCATTTTGCACATGTGGCATTGAGGAAACGCTCTTTTCATTTGGAAAATGTTCGTTCCACAAGGAATGAGAATGAAATTAAACTTGAACGAAATATACCTGCTATACAGTATACGCATGCTCAATGGTACATGGCTACTAATTAAAACTTGCTAATCACTAAAATGTAGCAATTTGCCAAATTTAACTTCCTCCAAAATTTCCCGCTATACGGTATATTTTGGATTTGACTCTACTAATTATTAAAATACATGTACGTACTGATGTTGGCGTTTTCACTGGTTTTAAACTTTATGCACTACATGTATGTTCATACTTTATCAGTGGCACTAAGGCATTTATAACCAAGCATGTACATGTACATTGGACATTTTGACTCTACTAATGATACATGTACATGTACTAATGGTAGCATTTTCATTGGTTTGAGATGATTTACATGTACATGTACATACACTATGTTCAGTTGTACATTGGTCACTCTTTCTTTCCTTTCTCTTTCTCTCTATACACAGGATGACTGAGTATACAAGAAACCAAAATAACTTT